GCTTCACTTTAGCTACATTCATTTCTGTTCAACCACAATTTGGCAGGGCACTGAAATTTACCCTCCATGAGTTTTCTCAAAACAACTGTCCAAGTGGCGCCGGTACGCGACAAGGGTAGGCCTCTACAGCTTAGTCGGGTTTGCCTGACTATCCATCCATAACAACTTCAGAATCGCTCAATGGCTTTTCAAGTTATTCACTGTTGCAAAGTCTTACTGAAGTGTGTCGAATAATTCAAATTTTAATAGATAAAAACCTGAGAAGAATAACGGACCCTTTTCACGAACAGCTACTTTTGTTTCTATGCCATCTTGAGAAGAACTCGCTAAACAGTTCTTGGGGCAGACATCTTTTCGAAATAAATGTTGTAGCGACAAACTAAACACACCCTGGACATTTTATTTATCATACACTTTGCCCTTAAGTACTGTGGCAAGATAATTACGGGAAAGGAAGTGAACGCATCAGACTTGCTAAGCATAGGGCCCACCTAACTCTTCTCTGTCCAGTGCATATTTAATGAAATATAAGGAAACGTCTTCCATGAGCTTCTGGAATGTAAACCCTCGCTAATCCGGATTAATTATGCAAAATATAGCCCTAAAAGGCAAAAGAAGGGCACAAATAAATAGAAAATTTAATACTATAGATAGGTAAAAGGTAAAGCTATCCCTGTAACAGGCTGTGAAGGCCCATAGTGTTCTGAGACGTCGAGGCTCTCACATTTTCTCTAGGCAACCGGCTAACAAATGGCGGTAAGGTTGTCAGCCCCACGCGCTGGCCGCCTTTACTCCCCAGGAAGATTTCTGTTACGAGGCTGAGTCGACCCCAGGGACATAGTGCAGCTGGAAGGATTAGGTCAAATGAAAAAATCCACCTCAGTGGAACTCAAACCCACGACCTTCCGGCTAGCAGCACAGTGCCTCAACCAACTAAGATACTGCATGCTCCCATAATAATACAGACAGTGCTGATGAAGCTGTCTTGTTCCTATATCCCATGTGTCTTTCAGAATACGTACTCAACTGCGAACAGATTTATATTCTGATTATCCAACACCCGTATTAGCCAGGGTTTACTGCAGCTGTACTTTTGTTAGTAGGCTGATACAATTCAAACCGAAATTCATCCAATACACAGCCCTTCCTCACTTCGAAGATTCAATGAAATATAGTTATAGAGACTTAGGTTATGGTTCTCAAGAGTTATGATGCCTACTATCTTCCAAAGACGAGAAGGTAACTGTAACCATTATGAAGCTTGTATGTGTCAAAATGCAAGGTTCTCGACCACAACATTCATCACAAGCACAGATTCTTGGGAGAGTTGGAACCCTTACTGTCTGTACACATGAAACATATCATGTCTCTAGATCACATAATTGCTGAGCTGAATTTCACCAAATTTGATTGTGAAGATTTTAATGTATGATGTAATACACAGATGGCTCATAGATGGCAGGGGGGTTGTCAGACTTATGTGCTGGTCACCCTTTAACCCCAGGAACATTTCTGTTACTCATTTGATATAGGCTGAATCAATTCCAAGGCCATAGTGCAGCTGGAAGGCTTAGGTCAGTTGAAAAATCCAGTGATCTCATAAGGAATTGAACCCGCAACCTTCCGGCTTGTAGCATAGTGCCTCAACCAACTACACAGCTGCATGCTCCACCTCCCCCACCAGTACCAACACATATATCTAGTAGAGTCGCCTAAAGCCGCTGCCATAAAATCCCATACTCTGAAGACAGTTATAAAGGGAGAATCCACAGAAACAGAGAGAAAATGAACTGAGAGAGGCCCAAAAGAAGCTTTCCTAGTAATGATCAAAGCTGAAGAGAAAATGCTTAGTCGACTGAGAAACATAGAAGAAACAGATCCCATGGAAACTAATGCTCTGGCAACGACAGTACACGATTGCTACAATTCTGCTAAAAGGCAGTGTAACTGGATTATATAGAGATCATTAACATAGGAATTGGAACAAGAACTTATGCATGCAAGAAGTGTAACTTTGGAAATGAGAAGCAGCTGAACAAGGGAACTGGAGTCATTTTAATGTGAAGTAGGGAACAGGGGTGACACATGAGTTCAAACTTCACAGCACTGTATCTATTTGAAACATATTAATGAGATGATTCTCATCTGTATTCACTGAAACAAACATTCAGCAAACACCAACACATTTCATTTGGGAAACTCATCAAAGTGCAGACCCATGTATTGGGCTCAGCATGCATGAACTGCATAAAACGTGAAGTACAATGGAAATTCGTATCTATTGGCTTATGTCTCTGACATTACTTTGATGAATCAGGATTAAATTTTGGTATCTGAGCGCCTTCTGCTGAAAGTTTTCCCAGTCTACTCGATTTTGTTATGCATCAATCCAAAACCTATTTCCTGGGAAGTACTAATAAAAAGGCGGAGGGCATACATAGATAGAAAGGACATCTCATAAGCTGCAGAAATTATGGAGGACACACAATGACCAAGGTGATCTCATAAGTTTCTTTTTATATTTTCAAAATAAGTAGGCTGAAAACCAGACGGCCTGTATGACATAAAATACAGATCTCATTTAAATCTCAAACACTGGGTATGAATGGCTAGCTCGCTTAATAAGTTTTCATGCTGTCACTGGTTAAAATCTGGGCTTGGATACCAGATATCCTGAGACTTTCATTTTCTTCAGTCCCTCTAAGAAAATACTTTAAATTAGGCCATAACACCTTTTTTCCACATCCTTTACAATTCATTATTCACTGTCACCTTACCATCTGATGCTATACAGTCAAGAGCTCATGACTGCATCATTAAATAAACCACAAATAAATAAATTCCAACTTCTACTTCACACATTTATGGACACGGAGAATTTTTAACAAAATACAAGGTTAAATAATTTCTGCTTGTGCAGTGTAATCTCTGCCATGCAATTAACTTTGAAACAAGGTATTTGTACCAGCAATAAATGAACACCAAGGCCACTCTGATATGCAAAATTGCAAACAGTGGCAGTGGAAAATATGTGTAGTCCAGTAAGATACAGCTTTCAAAGTTTGATTTCAAAATTCGTTCTTTGTAGTTTACATCTCACTGGACTTATGATCGATAACAGACAAAACAATCTCCAGCGCTTGTCAGCACTGAATTTACTCACTAGATAAAGGCACAAATATTTAATTAAATACACATGAGAAAGGTTTCAAATAAAAGTTATAATTCTTAATGAACAACTTACACAATCAACACGTACACTGTTCAAAATGAAGTTCAAACATGCACTTTGCAAAGAGAAATACCTCTTAATGAACACTGCATATGGTACATAAATCTTTTTCAAACTAGTAACAAACTAAAAACTCCCTCTGTGTAAACTTCTGTCAAATTGCCACTGCAATAATTAAGTTGCCTGTAATGATTCAATTTGAGGAACATTAAGCATTTTAATGTGCCTCTCATGAACACATTTTTTTATATTAAACTGCTGTTTTAATACTGGTTTGCTGTGATAAAAGGACAACTTTGGTGCTCACCTACAAGGCAACAGGGTGTAGTAACCCAGAATAACAGAACATGAATCTTCAGCCCTGGGAAAACCTCACACCTCACAATGAGAATCCTCATTCAGGATACGAAATAGACTGACCAAAATTTGTTCAGTTTCAGTCTCGCAATATACATATTATTCTAAGATAATTATACAGGCCACTCCATAGCTCAAGCGGTTAGTCACTGCCTTCCCACTGTGGCGGCCCGGCCGCTCTATAGCTCAAGCGGTTAGTCACTGCCTTCCCACTGTGGCGGCCCGGCCGCTCTATAGCTCAAGCGGTTAGTCACTGCCTTCCCACTGTGGCGGCCCGGGTTTGATCACGGGTCTGGTCAAGCGGGATTTCTTGTGGACAAATGGCACTGGGACGGGTTTTCTCTGAGTACTTCGGTTTTCCTTGTCAATCTTCATTCCACCAAATTCTCCATCATCATAATCACCTGGGGCAGGCTATAATAGGCCACTTGGTGGCCGCTGTGCCAAGTGGGCCCAGTTGGACTCCACCCCCCACTAAGCTAATTAAAAAAAAAAAAAGATAATTATATTTACAGTTTCCCCACTATGAGAAGTTTTGGCCGCAACTCCAGCCATCATACGGAAGTACTTACACAGTCATTTGGGCTGCGCCATAGCTCAAGCAGTTTGTCACTGGCTTCCCACCATGGCGGCCTGGGTTCGATCCCAGGTCTGGCCAAGTGGGATTCGTGGTAGACAAAATGGTGCTGGGGTAGGTTTTCTCCAAGTACTTCAGTTTCCCCTGCCAATCTTCATTCCACCAATTGCTCCACAATCACCCTCACCTATCATCTGGGGCTGGTACAATAGGCCAGAAGTGGCCACAGTATAAGGGACTTAGTCCCACCCTATTAGCAATAAAAAAATATACAGTCACTCTAAACTTTCTCTCCTTTCCCCTCTCCAATGGTCAATGTTTACAGTTTTGGTAAGGTTGTATTGTTGTTTACATGCAGGTCTTTAATTGTGGACTTAGGCAAATACTGAAGACAGACGCAGCGCATTCCTCTGAAGCACTGGTTAACTTCCACTGGACTATACAGTGTAGGATCCAAGAAGGCAGTGCTTCTAATGAGTAATAAATTGGAAAGGATGTTGGAGAAAATAATCACAACCTAATTTGAGGTATTATTTCAGGATATGTTTGGAGGGACTGAGGAAAACAACAAAAACTGTCACTCAAGATAGTCTATGTCATGATCACAATTCAAAACAGTTACCTCCCAGATACAAATCAGAAACATTATTGTTTGTGCCAACTGTCCTCTGCTCCTCTGAAACACCCCATCATCAGTAACTGTGTGTGAGATAAGATGAACACAGCTCTGTTCCTCCGCAAAATCAGCGAACTTCCATTGCACTGCTTGGCCTCACATCCCAGGATAAATCTTCATAGTCACCGCTGTGAGAACCATGAATCCTACACGAACATATGGTGCTCTTTCAGGGATGAACATTGTCAAAACTGTTAGATATGTTGTGAAAGAAGAGTGTGGGAACAGTGAGCAAGGGAGGAGGAGGGACTTGCACAATTAGTTTGTCTGAAGTCATCAAGTGATCAAGCAATAAAAATCATATTGGCATCTGCCCAGAATGACTCCCGAACTAGTGTAGATATGACACCTAAACCTATTCCTGACAGACTGTAACTACTGGGTTCTCATTCTGATCTGATGGAGAATGAATCTGCTGCATATTCTCGTCAGGGTTTGGATATGACTGAGAACAATTTAATTACACTGTATTTCTTATTTTGAGGAGGCTTATGAGATAACCTTTTCTTTCTGTCTGTCTGTGTATCTTCCCCTCCAATTCCGGTCCTGTTTATATAACTTCTGGACTGACCACAGAGAGAACACAGTCTCCAGCAATTGGATGCACCAGTTTCCACATGGTCCAAGTCTTATAAAAGCAAAGAAGGCAATTAGTTCTTCCCAGAACTTCTTGTTTATTGCTTTTATTATAATTTGCTAAGAAAAAATGAGAAGCATATATATAACATGGGGCCAATGTTTTCATGACTGCTCATGATATCTGTTGATTCAGTGACAATCATTTTGCATTCTCAGGGCTAGGCTTTTGTCATGCCAAACACCAGACAATTCTGGTGAGCTGGTGAGTGGGTGGTAACGCTCTCACTCTCGTTTTGTGGATTATTTTACGACACTGTCAGTACCTAGATCACGCAGCACGGAATGGTGTGATGCATGATGCGCTGCAAGGAAGCGGTTGTGGCCTATCTGATGTACTGAGCCATGTTTATGTTTGAATGGCCCAGGAAAGTGTTGGCCAGCCCGGTACCTCTCCCCTCCTCGGTTTACATAATCCCATCCTTCCTGCGTACCACGTGATTTCCCTTTCCTCAAACTGTTTAGAAAGAAACCCCTATATCACTGCAGTGGAAGCTGACAGTTGGCCTTTCGTTTGCCAGCGGTTGGCAAGGTAGTTGGTGAAATTCTGTTTGGATTCTCATTCTGGCCATTGAGGACAGGGACTGCCTTATTGCAATGGGTATGCTGGGAGTGTTGCAACAAGGGTTTTGCTGAGGTTTTATTTTATTATGTGACTGGGTTTGTATTGCCCCATTTTGTGTGGCTGAGTGTGAAAATATAATGAGGGTTTACACAGTGGTTTGTTCTGTGTGTTTTTTGGCCCACAATGCCCCATTTGTGATTCTGTTCAATGTGAAAATGGGGTAACATTCTGAGTAATTAGTTGCTGTTATACAGTCACTCCCAAAAATTAGTTCTTTTCAATGTCTCTTTCATCCCTCAAAATTTTCACCCTTATGACAATGAGAAAATTACATACTGAAAGGTGTCCAATAAACTTCTAATTGTGGTCCCCACCTCCCCATGTCCAAAGTTGGGTCACCATAATACATATGTCAATACACTCACCACAACTCCTTCTAAAATGTGCTCCCCCAACAAAATCGTATGTGCATTTCCTGTTTCTGACATCCAACCTACATGTTCAGTCCTATTAAAGCATCACAATCTAACAGCATGGATAATATAATTTATAATGGTGCCACAGTGCAATTCATTGAAACACTTCAGTAAACATGTAAATAGATTATAACATTTAACTTATGTGGTAATATATTGTGAAATACCATTAAAATTTCAATACCTTCAAACACTGAACTAAAGTGACAGAAACAGACATAAATGTTTTAAATGAAATGGGAAAAGGGTTAAAAAGAAATGTCGTACTACTTGTACAAAGCCAAATTTTAAGTAACATTCCTGGTACATTAGAGCCAACAATATATCACTGTTACTTACCAGTTAAGAAGAATGTTATGCTATCCGACCAACTCCTACAACCCAGAAATGTCTGCGCAGAGCGTAAGCAGTCCAACCCATTGCGATCAAGACGAGAGGAAGGCAAAGCGTCCATCGGTAGACATGCGAGACTGGCAGCACATGGACTGGTGAGCTTGATCTTAGTATCAAACTGCACAACATATATAAAATAGAGAAGCAAGAAAAATACATAGAATTAGAAGCAGCAAAATGATAAATATAAATTTACAAAACTTATGAAAAACATGTCTAAGTTGCATGATCATCAGGATGGTGATGGAGATCATTACATCATCACCGCAAACTTACAAGATTCTGTTTTCAATAAACAAAGGTAAAGTTGTGCCTGTGCATAATTAGCTAAACACTATGCCATGAAGATATGTAAGGGAGAAGAGTTATAGCTCCACTGCTCTTGGCCTCGGTCAGCTTCATGCCAACAGGGAAATTGCTCCTGTTACCCACTGGACAGGAAGCTGGGTGGGCCAAGAACTGGTCTGGACGTTGTGAAGAGAAAAATCTTTCTCCTGCTGGGATTCAAACCACAGCTGCCCAGCCCGTCACTATGCTGATTAAGCTACCCCAGCTCCTCTTTCCAATATAAAATGGGAGACAAAACTGCCATACCAGTGAACATGTGAACATGCTGAACACAGAGAACTTTTCTTTCATACGGTTGCTTGAACAATGTATGACATAACTTCAGAGATGCTTTCAACAGGCAATAATCTAGGAACCAACATCGAAGTAATGTACTGACATTTAAAATAATGACATGAATTCATCGAAATCAGCATCATGAATGCTGGCACCATGTACCAAGAATTAAGATGTGCAATATGTTGCTACTGGGGATGTAATACTGAAAGTGTTCTTGATCTAGAAATACAAAAATTTTCAGTCACACAATGTATCATCAGTTTCCATAACATGTGCCACACATTTCAGCACCTAACTGCTTTCTTCAGGCACTTAATTACTTGAATATATGTGTGTAAACTCTAGTATACTTCCTGCATGTAAGTAATTTTGTGAGCACCTACCAAACACATGTAAAGAGTGTTACAACTACGCCACAACGCTTGCAAGACACAATATGAATCTTCACTGCTATGAAAATCTCAAATCACATTCATCTATAATGCTTCTAATTTCATATGTAACGATACAGATTCAAATGTTTCTAAATATTAGAGGCAGTATTCAGAAAGCAGTAGCAATTGTACTAACTTAATGGCTTGGAGATCTGCAGCAGTAACGATCTCTGGGCGAAGTTCCCGCAGGACTTCAAGAGCAGATCGTTCACCTGCCTGTACAGCTCCATCCATGTAGCCACACCACTGTGTTGCAGTTTCTGTACCAGCCCAATATATCCTGCAAATAAAAACATTGCTAAAAGCTGTTCTGGAAGCAACCCTGACACTCACCTGATTAAAAATATTACCCACAAAACATTGGCATGATAAATAATTTGTTAAGTACATGGATTAAAATAAAATGTTAAATAAAATGGGTACTTTCTGACACATTCACATCAGAAAGTTGTAAAAAATGCACCTATTACCTGTTTGTTTGCTGTCCACTTGAAATCTTATATTATGGAATTATACTAATATTTTTTTATGATATTCCAGTTTTTGTTAAAATTGAACAATAATAGACTCAGAATGATGACCTACTTCTTTCTGCAGCTATCTCAAGGATACTGATTGCAAAATTTGATAAATAATTATCAGGGTGGAAACATTATGAAGAAAGCGAAACAGAGAGAGAAACAAAGCACACATTTTATGCCCAATATGCTAATAATTTAACAAAAGGGAGTAAATTTGACAGAACTGTTACACTATTTACACATTTCAGAACTTGTTTACTTTATGTATAGTTGCAATACCATAATAAAACATAGCAGGCAAGGCATAATGGAAGAACTAACAACAGATTGGGAAGGAAGTATTCAGCACTAGACACGTAGATGTCTTGCGTTACTGAATTTTAATCAAGAAGAAAAAATCCTCTTCTTGATTAGAACACCGATTTTTCAGTCTCAAACTTCAAGAAACATCTGACATCCACTTTTGCTTTGNCCCCCCCCCCCGTGCCAGTGCTGAAAGAGGACATGGCCCGAGAATTACATTTCTTCAATGCGACAATATGAAAATATTTCATCGAAGAATGTTCTGATATCAAAAGGATATGTAATGCATTTTAAAAAGAAGTTTCCAGTACTATAAATTGTGACTGCAGTAAGAAAGCAGATCTAGTAGGGAAAATTCTTGTTCTCATCTCAATTCTCAAAATTTTTCCAAATTCTCATCCCAAACTAAAAAGTAATTCCTGCGCATGCCTATTTAGAACATACTGAGAAGTACAGGAACAAGATGGAAATGAAATATACTCAAAGAAAGAATAACAGGTAAGCCAAAAAAGAAATAATCTACAGGGAGGTCCAGAAATCCAGAAATTCCTAGAATGCATGAATTCAGAACATTCTGAGAGGAAAATAAACAGGATGGAATGAGACCTCACTATAAACCACAGACCAGAAATACATGGTGCCCTTTGCAACAGCCCTACACCATAAGGTTGACAAGGACCGACAAGCAAATAAATTATGTAAAAATGGCTTTACTTTATGCCAAGCAGGTTGGCATAACCCTGATGAAGTTGAGTTCCATCTTGGAGGTAATCATTTTAATTCTAGTTAGGTATCAAATGTTCTAACCAAGAAGACTGAAATCAAAACAGGGACAACAGGTTCGGAAAGACGTCACACAGAAGGGAGGAAGGGCCTAGGAGGAAGATAGAGAGAGAGGCCTGATTGCTAGATGACCCACATAAAAGTGGAAATGCCAAAAGATGAAGGACAAAGAAGAAGGAAAGAGAGAAGGAGGATGACATTAATAAAATGCCTCTACTTCTTCACTCAACTGCCTTCTTTGAAAATTCTAAATCTGTGTAAGTAATAAAGAGGAATAAGTTACCTTCCAAAAGAAGCCCTTATGTGATGAAACCAGCCCATCACCCCAGGCGAGGTCCCATGCATTGGGCAGCCTCCTACATAAGTCTCGTCACTCCAGTTCTTCTCTACATAGTCAATGGGATCATGAACCCAGTCACCCCAAAATTCCGAAAGCGTCTGCAATACTGACTGTTTCCGATGGCACGGCTGAAGTATAAGTATCAAAAACATGGAAATAAATGCATGATTGCTGTAAAACTGATATGTTAGTGGCAAACTGCCCGTAAACTATAATAACTAAAACTATTAACTAAACTAGTAACAAAATAAACTGTAAAGGGATTGCTATTACCACACCTCAAATCTTTTTGACTGGTCTGATTTTAAGTTTCCTAACAATGGTGTTCTGCCTCCACAGGTCACGATGATCATGAACATAAAGCACTTAGAAATATGGAAAAGCAGACCAAAACCATTCTCAGCTGATGTAACCCTTGGTCTCAGTGTGAAACTTCATGTACCTCTTTCAGTGGTGACTAAATTCTTCTCTCAAACTACACATCATCCTCCATTATGAAAAGAACAAGATACAGCAGCTTTTTCACTAGAAAGCTCCATAAAAACCTCAAGTCTGGATACGACTAGTGTATCCACACTAGATCCGAATAAGGTATTTCTAAATATAAAGTAGGCATGCTAACCACTCAACCATAATACTTGGTCACATGTAATTCTGTGCTAACAAAACTCACGTCTTTAGAACTCCACTCTATTCCGGTTTTGCTTGCCATGTAGCCGGCTATAGCAGGTTGACCGTCATGTGTAGTGGCGTCATATGCTGCACTTATGGGTCCTCCATCACAAATGTGCTCAGCTTCATGTCCTCCACAGCTGAACACTTCTCCTGAGAAACCTTTCTCCCTCCAAAAAGCCTGAGAACATAAAGCAACATGCTGGCATGTCAGCCAGTGTAGGGTAACTACACAAGCAATCTTCACTGTTACTATGACAATCTTGAATGCTCACACGCACAGTATCATTCACCATGTTTAACGAACTACTGCTGCAACATGTATCGCCTCAGAAGTAAGTTAAGTTGCAGGAGTGGGGTGAGCAATACCATGCCCTCAAATGTGCCCACTGCACCACATCTGATAATAGATGCATATGAAGCATTGGTGAAACAATGATAGGAGTGGGGTGAGAGTAAGGGGCTTGACACTGCAGCCTCAAATGGGTCTACTGTATCAGCTCCTGGTGATGGATGAGTCTGAAGCACTGGAGCTGGATCATGATAAATTCCTTGGCACTGTAGCCTCAAATTGGTCTACTGTACCAGCTCCTGGTGATGGATGAGTCTGAAGCACTGGAGCTGGATCATGATAAATTCCTTGGCACTGCAGCCTCAAATGGGTCTACTGTACCAGCTCCTGGTGATGGATGAGTCTGAAGCATTGGTTCAATACATACAGGAGCTGGGTCATGATAAATTCCTTGGCACTGCAGCCTCAAATGGGCCTACTGTACCATCCCCTGATGATGAATGACTTCAAGACATTGGTGGAATGAAAGCTGGTTGAAGAAATTCAAACCACTCAGATAAGCATCTGACCCGGTTCCAATTTGTCCACCATAAATCCCACATGGACTAACCTAGAATTGAACCCAGGGCTCTGCAGTGGGAAGCCAGGAACTCACCTCCTTTGCCTGGGAAATACTTAGTATTCCCTGTGACAAATTCATGCCAATAGTATGGACTGTGTGCTTTTCCAATCACCTTAGTACATTACAGAGACTACTACAGAGGAACCCCCATATAATGTTTCTCGATTTCAGGCTTTTCCTCTTCTAACAATTAAGTTCAATGATTCCAAGTCAGTAAATTCAGTGTTCAATCTTCTCCACTTAAGATTTCCTTGTGTCTAGCACTCAAATCCACTGCTCCACAATGAAACCTTAAACGGGAGTTTCACTCTAGTAACTTTAAGTTGGTTATTTAACGATGCTGTCAATATCAAGACTGTAGTGTTGCAGAGCAATAACGTACTTTGGGATAAGTGATGACAAACTTGGTGAGGTGACCAACAGGATACCGCTGTAATAACTGTCTGTGCTTGAGAGGCAGAGGTGGAGAGAACAGGATTCGGAGTACCTCTGAAGGCGGTAATGCTACTACAATATATTTACTCCTGAAAGAAGAATGAACAAGCATATATTTTTAAAGAGAATGAGAAAGAGGTGAAGAGACAAACACGTAAGTTACCTTGACTTATCTCAGAACTACCATAATACCTTCATACACAAAGTTTCAATAAAAAAAACTTCAGATTTATTACTTTACACACAAACGAAACTCAGATAGCTCAATCTGTATTGTGACTAGCCTACAGGCTGCACAACTGAACAGGTGGGATTCAATTCCCAGCAAGAGCAAGAGCTTTCCTCTTCTCCATAACATCCAGACTGGCTCTGAGGCCCATCCAGCTTCCCATATTACAGGTACCAGGGTCCATTTCCTCAGGGGAAAAGCAGCTGAGGTGTGAAGCTGACCACTCACCTCCATCAAGTGCCATGGGTAACAATGGTGGAGCTATACCTCCACTCTCCCGTATGTCTTCATAATGTGGTGTGTAATTAATTAAATCCAGGAATAACTTTACTTTTGTATTACATATAACGCTACATGGCTAAACAACCAGCAGAACCACTATATTATTATTCACTGCCTCAAATCTCACACTGAGGACTTTATAAAAATAAATAATGTCATCTTATTCACTAAAGAAAATATATAGCTGTCCCTGTTCCCATGCAACATGCTATAAGAGTACAGAATTGTGGTGGTATAGCTCCACACACTCTACACACTGGTACAAGACAGAAATGAGTGATCAGCTTCACACTCAGTCACGGAGGCAACACCCCACTGCTTCGCTTTGTGCTGAACATTGGTGCGGTTCTCATTTTAACAACAGTCATATCACACAAATAAATTATAGCTTACTTAATGTCTGACCTCCCTGTTTGAGGAACCTGCTATGATTTATATTACTCTACTATATATTGCACTGTAATTCCTTTATTTGGTCTACTAATACATGTAAGGTTTACAGGACAGTGAAAATTTATATTGTGTATTAAGACACCAGAATTTTTGTAGGTGGTTACCAACATTTTGGAGAAATGTTCTACCACTGACACATATCAGGCCCCTCTAAAACACTGGAAACCGCCTATAAGACCATAAGCCAGGAGACTACAATGCAATCTAGGTAATTACTGTCTTCCTTACCTATGCACTTGGCCAGATTGAGTGGTCACTTGGACTCCACTTTCAGACTGCTCAATTTCTGTTACTGGGGTGTTCAGGATAATCAACTTGTTCCCAATTTGAGCGGAAAGCTTCAAGGCTATCTGCTGTGCTCCCCCCTTAACAGAAACAAAATAGCTTAACACTGTGAAGTGCATCTAAGTAACACTAGTCCCTCAGAACCCTTAACAAATGTCTGAACTTCTCACAGTAACTTCTTGGACATGTAAGCAAGTGAAGGGTTAAGGAAGCATTTCCTAAAGTGTGTACTGTGGAACACTGGTGTGCTACAAGAACGATAAAAGCACGTCACACAATTTACTTAAATACTGTTTATTCTATATTGAGCTGTTTACTGCCGTAACACATTAATTTGGTATTAGTATTCTAGCTTGTGTTTTAAAATGATTTAATAATGGTATTTCTTTTTCAAGATTTTCCTACAGGAGGCCTCTGTGTGTGCTCACTTATACTTTGCACCCCCACCCTCACCACCAGAATGCCAAAAATTTAAAAACTATAACAAACTGTGCTGTAGGTAAATACAAAAGGGAAATGGTGGGTAATTTATTTTTCTTGAGACTTGCTTCAAGTCACTGCCAGTAGCTATGACTACATAACATAAAATGATGGAATGAAAGATGAATCTGAGAGGACTTGGAAGGAATTGGTCATGGCCTAACCAGGGTAAGTCATCATTATATACTGAGCTACTTAGCTCAAGCAATAATGCTTCTGCCTTGTATTCAGGAGGTGCTTGGTTCAAAACTCAACTGGGACAGAGAGCACATTAACTGCAGTTTCTGGGGTTTCATTCAGTCCCTTCAAATCAAGGGATAGCACCTTAAAATTGTGCCATAACTATATCTTTTATGATTTATTATTCACCATCATCCAATCATTCCATGCTACACAGTCTGGATAACTGATGGCATTATTAAATAAAGCCCTGTCAATATGGAGTTAGTATTCAACATTCTGCAGTCTGCCTCCATCCCTACTGACATCGATATCATCACTACAGTCACCACGAAAGCTTCATAACATTTAAACTGTAAATAAAAGTATACTAAAAAAAAGTAAAGGTATCCCTGTAACAGGCCTTGGAGGCCCATAGGGTTTGGAGATGTTGAGGTTTCCACATTTTCTAGATAATCGGCTCATAGATGGCATTAAGGTTGTCAGCCTTACGCGTCGGCTGCCCTTTACCCCCAAGAATATTCCTGGTACTCATTTCTGTTAGAGGCTGAGTCAACCCCAGAGCCACAGTGTTGCTGGAAGGATTAGGTAGACTGAAAAAAGTCACCTCATCGGGATGCAATCCAACGACCTTCTGGATTGTAGCATAGTGCCTCAACCAACTACACTACTGCATAAACTGTAAATAGGTATATAAAAGAGGATAGTCCTTACATGCATTATCAGGAGTATACTATTTGCACAGGCTATACATTAATATTATCTAGAAAAAACAATATTCACCAATTTACTGTTTACAATCTGACCTTTATCCGTAACTCTCTTGCTCCAGTTGCGCTTGCACTAAACTGATTGAGCAGTCCATGTGTACCATTTGATAAAGCTATAACATACAACGCTGACAGCTGTGATGCTTCAGTTCCTGAACACAAAAGGTGCATATCCAATTATAGACTGTTTTAACCTACCAACTTTTTCTTTTGAGGATGCTATACTGAAAACAGTTTCAAAATCCAAACACCCATAAATATTCATAAAAATACTACTACACACCAACTAACTAACTAATCAGCTATCTACATAATTACTACATTTAAACCCCATTTTAATGTTCCTTTGAGGACCACTCAACTTGAACACTAAAGAAATGAGATCTTTAGAAGAGAGAAAATGTCAAATTTTGGAACAATAAATAACAGACATGTGTCATTATTTTGTACTAATTTTACTAAGCTTAAATCAATTAGTATTACACATAATAATAATTTTAATACTTAATAATCACTTGAAAGGCCAATGGATATATCAGCAAGAATTACAAATATATATATATATAAATATACACACTACTCTGTCCAAAATGTATCCGACCTTGGGCTGGGAAAAAAAAGTTCTGTATCTGGGTGGTTACAATACCTAATCGCCTTCAAAATAGGCCCCTTGTGACTCCACACACTTAGCCCAGTGGTCCTTCCATCGCTGGAAGTAATTCTGGAAGGCTTCTTATGGAATGGCATGCAGCTGCTCCGTCGCGTTCTGTATGATGTCCTCACAGCTGTCAAAACGGCAGCCTTTTAGCGGTGTCTTCAATCTTGGGAACAGCCAGAAATCACAAGGAGCCAGGTCAGTAGAGTAGGGAGCCTGGCAAACCTGCGGAATGCTGTGCTTGGCCAGGAAACCCTGGATCAGGTGTGATGAATGAGCTGGGGTGTTGTCATGATGCAGCTGCCAGTTGCGTGCGTCCCACAGCTCCAGTCTCTCGCGCCGAACTGAATCACGAAGATGGCGGAGGACTTCTTGGTAGTACTCCTTATTGACAGTCTGGCCTAGTGGTGCGTACTCATGATGCACAACACCCCAGTAATCGAAAAAAACAGTCAGTATCACCTTCACATTGCTCCGAACCTGCCGTGCTCTTTTAGGCCTCGGGGATATTGGATGCTTCCATTGTGACACCTGGACCTTGGTTTCCGGGTCACATCCATACACCCATGACTCACCACCAGTGATCACAGTCTTCAGGAACTCAGGATCCCTGTTGGTGCACTCCAGCATGTCCTGCGTGACCTCAAGGCGGAGTTGTTGCTGCTCCAGCGAAAGCAGGTTGGGGACAAATTTTGCCGCCACTCTTTGCATGCCCAAATCCTCAGTTAAAATTGTGTTTGCAGAACCTCTGCTGATCCAAACCTCATCAGCAACTTCACGGATGGCCAAACGACAGTCCTCCATGATCAGTGCCCGCACTTTTTCAATGACATCAGCATTGACGGTCTCCCGGAACACTGCTCACTGTCCGCCAACATACAGCCATGTTTAAAGTGGTTGAACCACTCTTTAATTTGAGTGACCCCCATTGCATCATCACCGAAAGCCTGCTGAATTTTGCGAATTGTTTCCGCTTGGGTATCCCCAAGTTTCTGACAAAACTTAGTGCAGTATTGCTGCTCCAAGCGTTCTGTCCTCTTGAGTGAAACGAGAATGCGACGAACACGTGTTACACCACTTTGCTATCTGGCAGCCACAGACACATCCAGCGGTGTTGCGAGTCAGCAAAAAATCACGCATGTGCAGGAAAGTCCCTTCTACCACTGCGTTCAGTTTCCCAACCCTTTGGCCATTACCTACAGCGGAAAAAAATAAAGTCGGATACTTTTTGGACACATGATATATATATATATGTACAGTCTCCCACAATATAGGAGTATAAGGTGTACTCAATTAAGGCACATATGTACTGATATATTTGGCAGTTTTATACTGATGGGTGATCTAAGCAGCTGAACTATAGAAGTTTGTATATAAAACAAAACTGAAGCCTAACCACCAAAACCTTGTAGATTTGTTGGAGGAAGATTCTGAAATTAGGCTTTGGGTCTTGTTTTTGTAATTAAACCTCCAAGGTTAGCAGTGATAACATGGAGGACCACATGATGGTAACTTTTAAAGTTACTTGGACAACCCGCTAACACGTAAGTATCCAACATTTCCCCCCAGCATTATGACATCTGTGTGGTTTTCCCTCGAAGATAAGGGCAAAGTTTCACATTCATATTAAAAAGAAAAACACTTTGTCACTGGCATAGTATTCCCCTGTAACATCAGAGGTGAAAAAAAAATGTATTGTACTGTGCAAAGTTCTAAATAAACTGCTGTCATATCGATACCGATGCTCTGAAATAACCTGCTGCCTCCATCTTCAGGGAAACTCTTCTACTCTGACAATGGAGGCAAAAGGTTCTCCCAATATGTTGGTATCCACGATGATACCACACAGTACCACAACCAAGATTTCAATCTGAAGCTAACTGTCGCTTAGCCAATTCAGAATTTCACCACCTTCTACGTGGAGCCCATTGGTTTTTTACTGAACCAGACATACCACATTCTAACACCGTATTTCCTTAATATCCATTTTAATATTAGCCTCCCATCATGCCAAGGTCTTCAAACTGGAATCTTCCTTTCAGGTTTTGAAACCAATATTTTAGATGCATTTCTTACCACTCCTATGCAAGCTACAAGATGAGGCATAAAAGATTAAATGTGCATACCAAATGTGGAACGAATGGCTGCCCTCACAATATCCTGGGCTGCTTTGGTGGACAGATGCCTAAGCAACAAAGTCTCCATTGTAATTGAATCCAACTCCTCAGCAAATATACATTTCAATGGATCAACAATTGTCACTTTGCTTAACATCTGCTCAATCTGAAAGAAAAACAACAGCACACTTCTTTAGTCTTGTTTATATACAAGACTCTCAAGAGATAGCATCCATATTCTAAAGGATTTCAGTTAACAAAACACCATATTTTCCAGAAAATAAAGCACTCTTCTTTCAGGCAAAATCTGCTCATAAAAGTGGAGCATGTTTCATACTGACATGCTCAATTTTGTTTGGTATTTCGCTAAAAGCTACCACCAAAAATTATGTAATTTACTGCTATTAATTTGTTCTCATTTTTTAAAATTTGTTTAGTTACTTAAAGTTTTCATTACTTTCTTCTGTGGTTCAACAAAGAAAAATGTACTGTTCTTTGTCTAAAATATATATAAAGGCATGCCATATCTTGAGTGACCAACTTTATGGAAATAAAAGAAATCTCAATGTAAGTTGAAAACAGAATCTAGTAAGATTCTAATTATGACAAAGATCTTCATCACTGTCTAATAATGACAAACACTCAGATCTTTTAGCCACGGGGTTACAAAGTTAGATTACAACAAGCATTCAGCTTAATTTTGCAGGATTATAGGATGGACGACTGGGTAAATAAGGTCTGATTCCTGGCAGAGGCAAAAGATTTTTCTCTTCTCCACCGAGTCCAGGGAAGTTCTGTGGCTCACCCAGCCTATCTAATGGGTATCTGGGACAGTCTCCCTGCAGGTAAAGTAACAACTCACCTCCATCTAGTGCCAAGGTAAAGAATGTATGGCGCTGCAGATCCACTCTGTCATGAATGTTTCTTAATTAAGCACAGGGGTGTTTGCTTCTTCACTTTTAAATTCATTAATTTATAATTCTGGATTTTATTTTATTCTGTTCCTCTTTCTTCCAATGAGGAAAAAATTACATATGCAGTTATATAATAACAGGCTAGCTCAGTATAAGCACTGCAATACATTTTGTAAACTTGACATATACAATGTACAATGACTTTAATATAAAATTTTCAAAATGTTTTAATACAGCATTAGGTTTAATCTTAATCAACCATTCAACACATTAAGTTATGGTGCAGAAATATCAAAATATCTCCAAATACTGGTAAACATACTGTCTCTTGTTAAACAGTGCATCTGTCAGAGAACTGTAAAAGTATACCGAGAAGCTTACTTTTAAAACAAACTGTCGAAGTTCATAGCAACTGTAAAATGAACCAAAATATGGGAAACTTGAGCTGTACTTCTCAAACACTGTGGCACCTGCTAGCACCACTTTACAGCCAGCACTGTACTGTGGGTATGTGTGGAGATTCAGCTCTTGCAGCAACCGCAAAATGTGTGGCTGTGATGAGCTGACCCACTGACCTCCCAGATCAAATTGTTCTGTTAGTAGATTGGATGTTTTCAGGGGTACTGTCAGGGTTCGGCCACCTACACGATCTGAAATACATGAAACAGAAATTTCACTGTGAAACTTCATTCAAAAGTAACATGCCTGGCTTGTATTTGTTATATGAGCCCACTTCACATACTGGATGGGACACCGACTAGCCTGGCTGTTTTCATGATTTTACTCAGATCCTCTAGGCCTTTGGCTTCCGTGAAGGGTGTGACTATTGGCTTTTCATGGACTCTGGAAAATGGAGTTTGTTATGACAGCTGCATAATTCCATTATATCTAGGTTTACTTTATTTTATATACAAGTAAGCAAACCATCTTGATAAAGTCCTCCTGCACACCACTGCACATCTTCACTAACTGCCACACTGTCCATAAATGTACGCCTACCAACAAATGATGCATTCAATTAAACACATTATGAGAATAATTTTCATTCCTGAGATTACAGTAAGTTCAACTGCTACTGATAAATAGACTGCAATAAAAGTTTCCAACCTTTTGCTTCTAGTACTAAAATCCTTAAACTTGAATCTCTCCTCAAGAGTCTGTACGCTGCAGTCAAACCAGAAATACCAGCTCCTACTATTATGACATCTGTTTCAGTCATCATGCCCTTCTCACCGCGCTCAACGCAGTTACTTGCAGATATAGCGTAGTGTGTCATTATTTTTGGATTTTATAAAAAATACTGATCACGTAACTCATTCCACTCAAACCCACACACGGCATAACACACACTTTCAACCGCAACATAAACACACACACAAAAATACTTCGTCTACCGCGGTCTCACGCGTCTCACTGACCTCACGGATCACGAAATAACTGATAGCCTTTGCTTTCGTTAATTTAAGTTGTGACGGCTGTGCTTCCGAATATTCGTTAGTTCGTTAGTTCGTTAGTCTTGTTGAGCTGCTTAGCTGCTGGTAAAGAGCGGTAAAATATATAATGCAAATCAGCCTGATAATGTGTGTATGCAATTTGTATTTGAAAACAGTATTAATTATAATTGAAATTGAGTGTGTTAAAGCGTTGTGACGCAAAAGCAGAGTTTTAAGGCTCTGACTGATAGTGGTTACAGATGTTCTTTCCAGGAAGTCTTCCTTCTTTATTTACTAACCAATAATCGTAAATTTTTGCAAATATTTGTTTATGATGGATCCAGAATCATGTTATGATGAAAGAGTATGTGCAACATTGAACGCCGAAAAGCATGAGACAAGCTGTGCCAGTCAAGAGAGGCCTAGTGTCAGTGATGTTCCAGCATTAATACCAGCTTCACAAAATCGAATAGAACAGTATTCAAGTGTAGCTAGTGGTCAGAGCGTAACGCCAGCTGTAAGAACCAATCTTTTAACACAAGCTGTTGAGCGTTATAATAGATTGCATGACAGGCAGAATGCTTCATCCACAACCTGTGGCCCATGTAGTTTGTCATCTCGTACAATTTGCAGCATGCAAACCAAGGGGTCTCAACCAGAAAATTATATAGGTAACGGTAATTACTGTACTCAGGGTGTCAGACGTTTTGGTGTAGATGTTGAAGCAACACAACATTCTCAGAGTAGTAGTAAGAATTGCAATGAAGAGCGTCACAGAAATGTTATAGGGCAAGAAACTATGTATACACCGAATGCTTCTACAGCTGTTGTAGTAGAATCAGCTCCACAGGAAAGGGAACAGTCAGTTAGACCACCTCTTGTAGGCCAAGCTTCAGCTTGTGACAGTTCAACAGCAGTGCAAGATATGTTGTTGCCAGCCGTCGGTAATACAGGAGCAGAGGATAACTCTGATCATTCAGTTCAAGAGGACTTACTGCAACACACTTACACTGAAAAGGAAACTGATTATTCTGGAGCCATAAAAGAAACCCAGTTACATAAGGCATTTTGCTCTGGTAATAGTTCAACAGAAGATAAGGATTTAAAACTCTATTCTTGTTCACAAGGAAAAGAAGATAAGACAGAGGCTTCTAGAGATGTGAAAGTTTTGTGTGAAATAAAGGAAGATTTTGTCTGTGGTAGGGCTGCAGAGCCTCGAGACTGTCACGTTTCAGGTAGGGTGTTTATGGCAGTGCCATGCCCAGCTGACCCTCAGTACCAGACTTACATGTCATCAAGTCAAAATCAGGATAGTTCTGCTGTAGCAACTGAAGCAGTGGGAAGTGGTAGAGCCCCCTCACCTGCATCTGTCTCCAGTGTGACATCAAGCCGACGTCTAGAATGGGATAGTGGTGCTGATGTTGGGTATCAGAATTACCAACCTGAGAATGGTGAATCTTCTCCAAATGAGGGTCTCAGTACCATAGAAAGAATTGCTTTAGCAAGAGGTTGTTCTGCTGCATTGAGACTTGAACCAGAGGGTACATCTGGATCAGTGCAGCAGCTGAATACAGTACAATTTAAACCTGTTGCAAAAAGTTCAAAATTTGTTTGCAAGAAGCCATTGGCTGTATCAACACCTGTAGAATTTGGGCAGAGAGTTGCAAGCTGTGTAACAGGAACTGATAGTGAAAGTGAAATAATACCAGATGTGCAGTTGCAGGCAGAAAGGTGTATCTTTCATGGAGAGGAACACAGTTGTCATTTAGCTGAAAAGAAATCCACTTCTGTTGTGCAACAGAAGGTTCCGAGTTTACAGTTTAAAGGACAGGAAAGCTGCAGTGTTGTCTCCTCTCTGCGTGATCTCCGTGAACTTGGGCATCCTCGAGCAAGTAAGAACTTGCTTTGCCGAAGTCAGAGTTACCAGAGTTTGTTCTCAAAGGAAGATCACAAAACTAAGGCTTTTCAGGACTCTAATAATGGTTCATATCCTTTGCGGCATCAGCATAAAAGGAACAATGGTTTAACTGCATGTTCCCTATCATCATCTTCAGTATCTACCGTAGTCACAAACCATGAATGTACTAGGATACCAGATAAACCAATTCACACTTCAGAATTTCATGTGCCTGTTAGAAATTCTATTGGCATTCGGGTATCAGAAACTGAAAAAGGCCCTAAATCTCTGTGTGCCACACCAAATTGTAATCGGAAACATGATGACAGTGCTCTAAAACACGTTGCAGCCTTGAATCCTGAACAAGAAATAATGTTAGAGGGCACAGACTCAGACATAATTGACAAAACTGATAGTGCAGTGGAAGATGCAAGAACTGCTGAACATAATCCAAAACATATGTTTGTTTTGAAACAGAATTATGTTCATGTTTCAAAGGTACAGCCTCAAAAACAATCCTACCAAGAGATGAAACCCTGTAAATTACTACTGGATAACACAAAAATTGAAAATGGGGGTTCTGCGTTTTGTAAAGGCGTTCAGAAGAGAAGAAGCATTGAGTGTCAGTGGGGTTTGTCAGCAAATGGAGCACCACAGAAACTTACTGAGACAGCTGAAGGGAAATTAAACGATATTGGTAAACCGTCGTTGGAGAGGAACCAGAGTGAAGAAGACTCTACAGAAAAGAATTCTGGAACGTTAGATAGTGTAACAAGTAGCACACAGACAGCAGGCTCATGGTTTCTGGGGGAGACTCCCCAGTCAACAAATGAGAATCAAAATGTAAGTGGCCGAAGAGGTTCATCTGGTGTAGTTGGTAGTGCAAACAGTTTCGAATATCTTCCTGGCCATGTTTATGAAAACAATACACTTGCACTTGATAAAAACTTGTATAGAAACACGACTGCAGGATGTTCGTTTGCAGAAAGTGCATCATCTCAACCAGTGGCAAGTTTTGCAGACAGTAAATTTGAAGCCAGTAATGACATGTCCTGGGGGTCATCTGTTTCAAGCTCTTTCATTAGGGATATTGAAAAGGGTATATCTATGCTTAAAGATCTTTTAAATGCAAAATCATACAATTCTGACAAGAAAAAGAAGCTTATGCGACAAGTGGTGAATAGGCTGATTGAAACGAGTGATGCTGAAGGTAAAGTAGTACTGGAATCGAATGTAGCGTGGGTGCCTCCCAAATCACATTCAGCTGCTTGTGTAAACGGTCACGCTGTCCAGGAGGCCAGTCAGGAAGTTGTGAGTGGTGGACGTAAGATGAGAAGAACAATGGAGAGGGGAGAGGTGTCAGGTGAATCTGGCGGTGAACAGCAAGGTGGCAGCAACCCTCGGCTACACCAGACATCTCTTGTAGCTGACAGAGGTACTCAGTCAGGTAATGCTCTTAGATCGTGGTTATATTCAGTACCACCCACTGTCTGAGCTATATTTTCACATGCAGTGTATTAGGAGCTGGCTGTCATCTTGTCTTCTGATGTTGCATTGTAACATAAACCCCAGGTGTAGACAGTAGGATATGGGCACCACATTGNCAAGGTGGCAGCAACCCTCGGCTACACCAGACATCTCTTGTAGCTGACAGAGGTACTCAGTCAGGTAATGCTCTTAGATCGTGGTTATATTCAGTACCACCCACTGTCTGAGCTATATTTTCACATGCAGTGTATTAGGAGCTGGCTGTCATCTTGTCTTCTGATGTTGCATTGTAACATAAACCCCAGGTGTAGACAGTAGGATATGGGCACCACTGAGAAGCTCATGTGAACATGGTAATGAACTTTTTGCTTCATATTAAGGGAGGGATATCTTTTGTAGCTGAGCAGCTGTTAGCTTCTCAGGAAGGACTCCTCTGCATATAGTGAGATATTCAAATTGATTTCATCAATGTATGTATTAGCATAGTTGGTATAGTGACTGTCTGGGCTGAACGACCGAGGGGTCAGAGTTCGAGTCCTGGTAAGGTCAGAATTTTCTCTTCTTCATATCGTCCAGACCAGCTCTGGGGCCCACCCAGCCTTCTATCCATTGGGTACCGAGGGCTCTTTTCCTTGGGGTAGAGTGGCATGGATGTGAAGCTGACCACTCACCTCCAACTAGTGCCGAGGTCAAGAAAATCTGGATCTATACATCCACTCCCCCATACGTCTTCATGGCATAGTGCTCAGTTAAGCACAGGGACAACTTTACAGGAGCTATATTTATGTGAACCCTGTTATGCAGTGCTGTCTGAAGCTAGTGGACCGTCCTCTCTGTCAGTAAGTCGTGCAGACAGCAGGGCTGAGACAACCACAAGTACCACACAAGGGCGTGCTGGTTCTTCGTCAACTAATTCCACATTCCCTAGAAACTGGAAAGAACTAACCACACAGTCAGAAAGAGAATATGAGCAGTGCAGGCACAAGCCAGGTAAGTGAAGTGTCATACTTTCCAACTTATTGTATTTGGTCTCAGTTTGATGTCCTTAAATATTTTATAGTGATACTGTGGCATATTTGCTCAAAGCAGGTATTGTGGAACCAGGAGAGACAACCATTACTAGACAACTGCTTTCTGAGCACATAACAATACCAGGGCCATTGCTAAGCGACATGAGCATGCAATGATGTAGGAACTGTTGGAAGCAGTATTTTCTGTGTGGTCTGTGCTAAGACTACATAAGGAGTCAGTTGTGCGTTGTTTGTTAGCTCAGCTTGGTAGCCAGTTAGTTCAGCAGATGGAAGCCAGTCGAGAATTCACATCTGAAGTTGGAGGTTGGCAGTTGGAAGCCAATCCAGCCAGGGAAATAGCAGCTGAAGGAAGTACCAGCTGCAGCCAGCAGTCAGAGTATGAGGTTGGCATGAGATGGCCGCCAGCCTGTGAGAACATGATCCTGGGAGCAGAGGAACATCTGCTGTTGGAAGCTGCTACCAAGCAACGTGACTGAGGACACTGGTCTGTTTGATAGTGATCTGTGAAATGTAGTCACAAGCGGTAAAAGTGTCCAGTAAATTCAGTTGTCAATTCAAAACCTGTCTGTTGTCACTCAAATGTGTAACAATACACTACGTTTCATATGTCACACATGAGCTCCTACAGTTCATATCCACATCCGTCAGCCAACAGCAAACAAACATCAAGCAACAACAGAAAAACCAACCAGAAAAACTTCAGCAAAACACAGAACAAGAAACAGCTGAATCAGAATATCAGTCTTGAAGTTAACATGAATCGTATTAATAACATTGGCTCCAGCCATAATTTTGATGTGAATTTAAAGAAAATTTTAAACAGCTTTAATTCTCTTAAGTAATTCAGAAGTTGTACTCCAGTTGTCTATAATGACTGTACAACTGATGGTGTGTCAGTTCACAGAATAGAACACACAACTCGTGTAAGCGCCTGAGGATGATTGTGTAATTGTCAGTGTGTTGTGAACTGACAGTTTGGTGGCCGGTGTATGATCACAACATTGTGATTGGTTAACCAGAGAGTATTGCTGACATGTTGCACACAGAAGACGGTTCAGAGTACTACATTGTATAACATTTCCTTCCAATATACCATGAATTGGGAAGATTAAAAATGCATTAAGAATTTAGGTGGAAAGACTTGAAAAGAAACCTGTTGGGAGCCCAAAACACAGATATGAAAATGTTTTAATTGTGTTTCATTTAGTGACACTGCTAAGTATTCCAGTTTTCACAGTGTCAGTTGGTAGGATAATTAGTGAGCAGTGAATTGGAGACGATGTGGAAAGAAGTGATCAAGGCTTACTTTGAGGTACTATCCTAACATTTGCCTGGTGTATCTGAGGAAGCCCATGAAAGATCTCAGTCAGGGTAGTCTTTTTTTTCAGGCTGGTAAAATGTGGGAATGGACAGTATAAAAATAGTGTGAGTGTCTGGTCTAGATTCAACTGGCACAGGGATTTTGTGATCACAGTGATGAACTTGGTGTTTATAAAGGTGTAGAATTTCTTGACCAGGTGAACGACTGTCAACTTTTCAAGAATAGCCGTGCAGTATGGAGTTTGGTAGTCACATTTTACACCAAACCCCCCAGATGTTTGGATGATCATGGTAGAAATATTAAACTGAATCTCATGGAAATTCATTTTGGTTATGAAGATTAAATTGAATGAACAATGGACAAGATGCATTGCCTGATATTTATTTTAGAGCTGTGTGGGATTTGGGCTACTCATGGCAGTCAGATAAGAAGCTGTGCAGTCAGGTCGAAATAAAGTTCCACTTTAGTTGAGTCTGCACTATAATAATTTCCCTTTAATATGTAGTTATTCCCCAGGGGCTTTTCTGATGCTCAGGAGTGTCTGCCTGGTTCTGAAAACCCGTTTTCACCCCTGTCTAGAACTTGTGCAGTGTTGATTGTGTGTTATCAGTATGTTTTCATAGTGTGGTGCTTACGCATGAGAATAACCTGAAGTTTACAATCTTCTGGTTTGTGACATGTAATTTGGCCGATAGGTACCACTACTTTGGAGGAATATGTCACCTTATTTTCACTTTTCTACCATGAAGATGGAAGCAACAGATTCCACCAAAATCTTAGTACCTATGTACCAAACTATATGGCATCACATCTCAGAGGAGATCATAGCCCTCAGTCTGAGAACCATAGATCTTGGGGATAACTTTACTTTCCTACTCTCAAGTGTCCTGTGGTGTGATTGCATGTGTGTGAGAGGCTTATATGATTGATTCATTTTTACAGGGCGACAAAGCATCAAGTCAGTACTACTCAGCCTCTGTGAGACAGAAAGAGAAAGCCAGCTGTCCTGGATTTGCACGGAAATTCGTCATCTGAACAATCTGAAACAGTTGGGTAACCTTGAGGTTTCATTTTGTTGTGTGGTGGTAATTCATGACCTTTCCGTATCTTATATCAGTCTGTAAACTGTGTACTGAAAGAACTGCCACAACACAAGAAATGAAGATTAAACCACTGATGACATAATACAGCAAACTCTCTGTCATCTGGCATGTGTTGAGAATGGGATGGTTATGTGAATATTGTAGTTGGATGAGGACTATTACAGAACCCATTTATCATGTATTTTTCACCCTTCCTCAGTGTTCCAATATTTCCATTTTCTGTTTCGAAGTTAAAACCACACACTCTCACTTTAGTTCTTGTTCAGGAGTCCTTCCAGAGGTCATAGCATATAGATGGGTGAAAATCTGACTAACATCTATTGTAATCGCTGAATGTCAGTATGTCTGTAATGGTACCTGTTCGAGGGACTATGTCAGACAGTGCTATTAGAGCTTCTGTCATCATGTCCTGGCCAGCCTTAACCTTTAACGTACGGACTTTTAAATTGCCGGCAGCCCTCTGCGGCCGGTATTTAAATCACCCTAATTAATTAACATTGCAAACTTTCAGAAAAAATACATTTTTCCGTTCTATACAACATAGAAATACAAACTAAAAACAGCCTGAAAGACAATAACATTTTCTACATATACACAAAAGAACAATTTTTACAAACGAAAATTAACTGTGATTATTTTGTCATGAAGTGCAAAATATAATCTTTATTATGTATGTTATGAAATTCCAAAGGACTTACCCGTTGTTTTTTCTTCAACCTTGAATCATGGTGATATTGTAAATATAATCACACTGTGTACAATAATATTTTGTTCAGACTGTACACGAGTTTTGAACTGCGTCACTTCACAGTTTATGATACACTCTGATGCGCAGTCCGCCTCACACAAAGTGGCATTGCGCTTTTTACAATAGAAGAGTGTGCTCCTGCTTTTCTTATTTAGTGAAACACACTACGTCTTTGTTTCTCTTTGGTTGGCCAGTGTTGTGAATGTTTCACCTCCAGTCGACTCAGTTGGGCTCCAGATAACCTTGGCCTCCCGCCAAGAAACGCCACTGACCGTGATATTTGCTTTGTGCAATTGAAGAATCGTCTTGGGGGAATGGGGTTCTAACAAAATCAAATAAATTATGTTGATTGACAAAGCGACACTCTCACCTATTAGTAATACTCGCAAAATAGTGATGCAAAGTAATTATAATACTAGTCGAAAAGGGTGTCAGTCCGACACTGATACTGAAAGTCACAGTGGCAAAGATGCCTTTTGCTCACAAAGTAATACTGGCTCGGTGGGTTTATACCTCTTCCAAGACGCAAAATAAAAATGATATATAAAGAAATATATGCCAGTCTGACACTGACTTTCTAACTGATAAAGAAACATTAGACAATCCGACACTGAATTCCTGACTGATAATTCGCCACTGAAAACCAATCCTTGAATGTGTCAAACTTTCTTGAAGGCTCTGGATGCACTCATGTGCAAGCACCGATAAATATTTCCTCATCAGTTCTTGAAACAAAGCTGGGCTATATTTGGCTGACGAGGTCATAAACAGTCATATCTAAACATAAATAGTTTTGAAACCAGTACCGTGATAAACGATTTCATTGTTCAGAGCTAAGGAGTGAACCACTGAGATGACCTTACGAGCGTTTGTTTTGGTTTCAAACCCAAGGTCAAAGTGCCAGGAGTCCCAAAGAGAGCACGTGTCCTGCCGTATATATATGTATATATATATAATATTCGGCCAACTCGGGTTGCTGCTTGCTGCGTATATATATATAACATTTGGCCGTTAAAGGTTAATGTCTTCCCAGTCCCCTGTTTGGTGGGTACTAAGGGATCTTTTGCAGGTAACCACTAACAGTCTGTTGCAAATGTTAAAAATCCACAGTGCTTGACCTCTGTTCTTCCTGTAGTTAGTGTAATGAACATAGGCATATTGTAAAGGAAAATGAGCTTCCATGTCTAAGTGCCATACTGTGATAGTATAGATGTAGAAAGCTTTTAGCTGCTTTAATCTCAAGAAGAGAACGCCTAGTAAGCATTGTATAGGGGCTTATCTGTACCTCTGTGCTTTTATTTTAAATATTGTTTTCTATACACTTAATGCGATCTTCTGTTTTTGGAAAGAGACTATCCAGGAAAAGTGATAATGTGGTAGTTTTTCCATTTGCTTTCCACATCGCAGTACAGCAGCCGTTCAAACCACTCTGGTCACGCCTGTTGCTATACGAACTTGAACCATCTCGAGCATCATTTGTTCTGTGCTTCAAGTCGCTACTGATGACGCTGCTTCCGGCATCTGTCGTCTGACAGATTACTGATGAATGAATGAATACAAGTAAAATGGAATTTATTGTTAATTGCAGATTACTGGAGAAACAGAAGAAACTGGGAAGTGATCTTATGGACCTTGAGATTCAGACTTATGGAGGAACCCATAAGAAAAGACGAGATCCTGTATCTTCCCAGAAGAGCAGTGAAGTTAGTGCTGAGCCTGAGTCAGTTAGGTGAGGTGTCCTTGTATGTTGTCATATATTGCAAAATATTGTCGTGTGTTGCCTATGTAACGTGACAAATTAATTCACGCAGGTCTTGGATTTAGCAAATAAGTTTATTAGCCAATCCCCTCTGCACTTCCAGGTACAATTATCATCCACTTATAATGTCAGACGTTTCTTACAACACTGATATAGTTACTTCTTGCACTGCTAATCTCAGTGAAGTCTTGTGTTCCCTCAGAGCTACCTGAAGACTGGCTGCTCTTCTAAGGTCAGCTACAAAACTGCAAACTGCACTTGAATTGTTGAAGCTGGAGTCTTATATAGCCTGCTTTAGTTCGGAATATAGCGCACCATGTAGGAGCCTTTGATCTCGAACGCTGTTATTCAACGAACCTTTTTGTTCTCCCTTCATCTCCAGGGAATAGTGTTTGTTGCTTAAGGTATTCCTAGGCAACGGTCTGCTGGTATTGTGTTTCCATGGAAGTATACCTTCTTATTGCAGCCATTGCCTAGGAAATCAACCATTCTGGATTCCTGGCATGCCACAATATTTTACCAGTTGTTTGTATGGTCCTCGTCTTACTGTGAACATAGTAACATACTAATGTTAGTGCTCAGAACAATATTTTGACCTAAAAGGAATGAACTCCGTAAGAGGCTTAGGGCACTACATAATGAGAAGCTGAGTGATTCATATAGGTCATCTAGACCAGTGGTTCTCAACCTTTATGAGACTGCGGCCCAGTAAGTTCTTTTTTATAAGACGAGGGCCCAGTCCCAACAAATTTACTCGTAAATACCTTTCCAGTTTTGTTAAAGTTCATGCATGAAGCTAATGTAATATTAGTAATTAATTATAGCATAATGATAAAGAATATTAGTACACTTATGTATATGGTGTGGCATGTTGATAAACATAAAATTACATTTAAATTAGTTATCAATCACTGGACTAATGAAATCAAGTAGCATTTTGTAACTTCCTCAGACCAACATCATTAAATTAATTTGTGCTAATTTTCATTGACATATCCCATGCTGATCACCAAAAACTTATGTTATTCAGCGTAAAATTGATTATTGTATTATTAAATTGATTTTAATGATGTTGGTTTGAAAAAAATGGCAGTGAGAAAAATATTTATGCTTTGTAACTCGCCATAGAAGTCAGCTGAGTAGGGGAAGAAGCACTAGGATGTCAACTTGCCGGTGAAACAGTTATCACATACACACACCAAATAATTATATAGTATGTGAAGTATGTAATTTGATAAATAAAAATGTATGAATCTCTCAATTCTAAACACTACTTCCAACACTAATTAATATTTTGATTTAAAGATGCAGCACTTTAACACAGCAATTATAAGTTATTGGAAAGTTAAACTTAGTTTCTTTTATCACAACTGAGTTTGGAAGGTTTTAGTTAGGCTAGTGAGACTTCTGTTTCTGTTTTCCGTCCGTTAGCTTATTAATTCTGGGATGAATTGAAGTGAGAGCCAAACGGAGACAGTCAGAAAGTTGCAGGCAGTTCCTCTGTTTCGTTTTAAGCACAGTCATGGCAGAAAATGCAGTTTCACAAAGATATGTGGTGGAAAAACAAAGAAGAAACCTCACTGCTATTTCATGTAAATTTGGATATTCATTTTTCATTCTTATCCAGAATTTCGAATTACTCGTAGTATTAAAAGTACTTTCCAGTCCTTTGTCCGATGATAATTCAATAAGTTGAAGGGTTTCTTCATGGGAAAGGGCTGTCTCTTTGTGTTCAACAAAAGGGTTCACAATCCACATATTTTGCCTCCGGGGATCCTTATGTTCGGGATAATATTTTTCAAACGACAACAACAACATCTTCAAGTGGGCTGCAGTAATATCTGAAACTGAATTCTGTGAATAGAAATCATCTGCTTCCATAATATAATCTGAGTACGACTGAAACATTTCATTGTTTCCTTCTGCAATCATATTAAGCCAGAGTTTGAGTTTCTTTTTGAATGATTCGATCTTGTTCCACGCATCAAATATTGCTGTATCTGGACCTTGAAGTTTTAAATTCAACTCGTTCATGTAAGAAAATATGTCGCTGAGATACCCCAGCCCCGCTACCCATTTCTTATACTGGAAATAATGGGACTGGTTACTTTTCTTGTCAATTAGAAAGATCTTGACTTCCTTTCGGAGTTCATATAACCGCTTGAGAACTTTACCGCTTGACAACCAACGAACTTCCGAATGGAAAAGAAGATTTTGATTATCAGAGCCCATTTCATTGCACAATGCTTTTAACATTCTTGTATTAAAGCACTGCTTTTTATATGATTAATAATCTTAACAGATTGAGACAGGACATCATTAAGCTCAGGTGCCATTTCTTTGGAGGCCAGGTTTTGCCTATGAATTTAGCAATGCGTTGACACTAAGTTATTGCCCGCCATATCCTTAATTTTAGTGACCTAACCTGAATTTCTACCTGTAAGACAGGCAGCACCGTCAGTGCAAACTCCAATGCAATTTTTCCATTCGAGACCTCTCTCTTCAATGAAACCATTAAAACTTTGAAAATTTCACTGCTGGTAGTGTGTTTAGGTAATTCAGAAACACTTAAAATGTCTTCGTTCATGTCACTCTCATCATGGTCAATATATCGTACATATGTAAGTAAAATGCTGCTGTTCTGAATGTGTGTAGATTCGTCCAGTTGTAATGCAGACAATTTCGATTTTTTTAATTTTTTCAGTGACTTGCGTTTCTGTATCTTCTGCCATATTAGATATCCGCTTACCAACTGTATCATTTGACAATGGGATGTCTTTCATTTTACTTGCCGCAGACTGGCCTCATACTTCATTACAAGCAGCAATCAAAGAAGGCTTAATGAGTTCTTCCCCAATGGAATATGGTTTTTTACATTTAGCTGTCTGTATTGATATTAAGTAGGATGCCGTCAGAAGTGAAGTGTCAGTGATTGAGGCTTGGTAAATAACTTTCTTTTCTACTTTAAGTGCATCTCTTTTACGCATAAAGATTCAATGGGTTTGTTGACTAGATTGGAATGTCTTGTGTTGAGTTGTCGGGTAAGTCGCGATGGCTTCATAGCTTCGTTTCCCAGAACAGTAGCACAAATGACACATTGAGGTCGTGGCAATTGGTCAGTGTTAGGGCATTATATGGAACCAAATTTTAAGTAGCTGTCCATGTACTTACGAATGGATGCAGACTTTTTCTTCTGTGTGCTGGTGGTTTTCCCTTCATTTTGTACACCTAGAGGTCGCTATGTAGGCTTGAGGTGGATGAATCACTACTTGTTGCATCACAAACACCTTCAATACAAGATTTCTTAACACCAACATTGAACAAAGTCCCCTGTCTCTTATTTATATTAAAATTTAGATCACTCAGGTTTCGAAACAAGCACTTACACACTGAAATGCGAACTTGTGAAGAAACAGTATTCAGTATTACTAGATTTGAGAACTGGATACAGACTGCCTTGATCTTCAATTTCAGTGGAAACATTTTCTTTATACTTCCTTGCTGATTGGTCACTGACATTTGCAACACAGATGTTTTGCTCAGTTCTGAGAACAGAGGATATACCGCCCATTGTTGTAATTGGCTTGCAGGCGATATTTATGACTGCTCATAAACATCGGTATTGCCTTTCCCGAATGTTGAAAGATTTGGATGTCTGAAAATTTCCGATCATTCATGAATACTTCCATGTTTAAAAATATGCGGCTTGGTCACTGACATTTGCTACACAGATTTTGGTGTTCTGTGTCTGAACTTCTCAACACACATATTATTCTCCTCAGAATATTTCCACTATAAAATATTTAGTCATGAAAAATGCTTAGAAAATGAAAATGACAAATTCCAGAAGAGCCTCTTGTGGCCCAGTATAATTGATGCCAGGGCCCACTACTGGGCTGCGGCCCGGCAGTTGAGAAGCACTGATCTAGGCCACCAGAATAGTGATGTCTAGGCGGCTGCGAGGGCCAGCGATTTAGCTTCTGTGGGGAAGAAGACAAATATAAATACAGTGTTGTGTTTGGGAAGCCTGCTGGAAAGCACTAACTTTGAATGCCGAGAAGGAGATAGGTGGATACTATTAAAATGGATAGAAATAAGTGAGTTTACAGTGTAGTGTGAACTGGATTAGGAACATGTCCAGTGACAGGTTCTGGTGTTAGCAGTGCTGGACTACAGGCATGGTAGAGTTGAGGTATAGCTCACATATTCTTAGCCACAGCAGTGGATGAAGATGAGTGGTCACCTGTTTTGTAACCATTTGAAAGACTACATGGTGTCAACACAGAAGACCACAGTCTACACCAAAACTACCAAATTTTCAGCCTACAGCCACAAGAGTACCCTTCAGTTCCGAAAATGTGTGTTGATGCTTTCCTTCTCTTTATTGAAGGTGAACATATGCTGGTGAAAATACTTTACAAAGAGTGCTAACTGAATACCCTGTGAAATTATTTTATTGATATCATATGGCATCTAATAAACAACTTAGAAACATATGAAATTTTTATAACTCTGTGATCATATGCAATATCAGTACTATCTAAAAAATCTTAGCTGCTGATTGGTAAGCACTGTTGACCTGGTAACACTGTTTGACAGCCTTATTATGCCTGGAACACATTTGTGTTGCCCAACCACTCAGGTTACAAGTAGTGATGTAAGACTATGTATGAATAGATGTGTAAGGTACAATGAGGCCCCACAGTGGTCTGAAGTTGTTCAGTTGCTGTGAGAACCTCAGGTCTCATTCATAATTGTATTGCTTTATTTCAGGTCGGATGGTACATACAGTAGCAGTATTAGAGAGGCACATCTCAAAGAAATTGAAATTGAACGTAACAGATCAGTTAGAACTCATCGTTACAAACATATCAAGCCAAGTATGCAGTTGATGAGCCCTAAAGTACCAGAGAAGCACAGTGGAACTGATAAGTTCTCAGTAAAAGTACCTCAGAGTTCATCAGACTCAGATATGAAAACAGTTGTTTCAAACAGAAAGGATGTTTTTACTCAATTTCCTACATCAGCTAAATTATGCAACATAGAAATCAATGATAAATTACGGGTGGAAGAAAAAGGAATTCAGGCACCTACATCATCAAATGTGTCAACAAATGGGGATACATATGAACTGATCGGTGGTGTATTATCAGACAGCACAGCTTCTGGAAGAATTAATGTGTTCATGCAGACCAGAGATAAGAAGTTTGTAACAAAGGAAGATTCTCAAAGATCACAGGTGATCAATAAATATATAGCAGAAGCATCAAAATCTAATGAATTCAGAAAAGCTAACGTGAAACAGTCAGAATTGAATGAAAGCACACCTTTATGTTGCTGTGAATGCAAGAAACTTCTGGGTGAGATCAGTTCAGATCTCAGATCTACAAAACAAAGATCTGTAGGTAATTCTGTTGAACGTCATATGAAGATGAACAGCCTTGTTGATAAACAGAAATATGTTCCATCTTCAGGTAGAAAAACACAATCAAAAAGTGTGGATAACAGTTCTGCCAGAAGTTGTACATTCTCTTCTTCTGGAACGATGGGTGATGCCATTGAATTAACTCATGATTCAGATCACGTGCAGACATCAGTAGCTACTGAAACAACTGGGAATACTGGAGTGCAAACAACACAGCCACTAAGTTCACTGCCTCTGATACGACCACAGTGGTATTCAGTGGTCAGTCAGGGGACACAGAAATTGTCGAGCAAAGTAGAAAATGGTATAGATGCAAGTCTTAAGAAGTGTCCTTGTTGTGGTGCTTCTGAGGATAAGACTGACTCCATTTTAATATCATCACATAGTACTGCTGGTGAGTGGAAATGCTACAGGTGTTTGAAGAAGGAGCAGGATAAAAGGCACAATCGGAAATGCCAAATTTGTGGTGTGTTAGAATCAGAGCAAAATGGCATTGCAGACTGTGATACAGTGTGGAAATGTAGCGACTGCTTAGCGAAGCTGTTGGATAAAGGAAAGCCAGTGTTGGATAAAAGCATTCAGTGTGGACTTCAGAAAGGCTGTGAGAATGTTAAAGAAAAACAGGGAGATGCTGGTATCAGTAGCAGTAGCACGACTGCTATGAAGGCTCCTGTTGGATATGTTGTAACCATTGAGACAGCTACAGATTCAGTCTCTTCTGTGGCAGAAAAGTCAGAAAAGAAGCCACTGGAAAAAATCAGAATTAAAGTTCCTGGAAAGAAGAGGCGTTCAGTCTCATCCAAGAGAAAAGAGAAGGAAAATTTAAAAACAGGTTTTTCAAACTCAAGCATGAAGTCATCTAAGCAAAAGCAAAAGCCAGCAGGAAGCACAGAAAACAGATCTACAACTGATTGTGCAGTTATGAGGAACAAACATTATTCAAGAGAACATACATTGCAGGTACACATTTGTGATAGAGCTGTAGAAGCATCTGCTAGTCTAGAAAGAATACTGTTGTTGTCACAGTCACTTACATTTGCTTTTCCTAACAGGAATATCTTGCAGCAAATCGTCCTGACTTTATTCAGAGTGCTGAGTACCGTAGACAGTGCCTTGATGAGCTCTCATACTTACGAGAACTTAGACAGAAGAGCAAACAGAAGCTGTTGGCACTTGCAAGCAGCACGTCTCATTTTCGTGGAGACAGCACTGAGTTGATCAGTACAGGACCCTTACCTCCTCCACCACTGGGTAATGTAAATTCATGAATATTCCTTTTACTTCAGGATTCTACATCTGATATCATAGACGTTTTTGTATGTGTGCTTTTGAGCCCCTCCTCTCGTCACACAGCCAGTGCCCATCACATAGCCAGCTGCTGTCTTTACAGTCTTGTTGTCCATCAGGACTTCCAAGTAAAGTTGTGCTTATTCTTAATTAAGTATGAAGATGTGTGGGGTAGTGGGTGTGTAGATCCATGTATTCTTAACATTGGCACTAAGTGAAAGTAAGTGGTAACTTAATATCATGGGGACTTACCGCCTGGGGAAGAGTATGTGGTACCTGTTGGACAGCAAGCTGGGTAGGCCCCAGAGTCAGTCTGGACACTCTAAGAGGGGACAGATCTTTTGACACTACAGGGAATTGAATCCTTATTCCTCAGCCATTAAGCCTGTCACTGGTGCACATCATAATCTATATGTAATATTGTAATGGTGCTGCTGGTTGCAGGTAGTAGTAATTCTTTCAGTTGGTGGATCTGGCAGCAGTAGTCTGTCGTCATTTTGATGAGGAACGTTTATTTAGAAGAGCTTCTTGAATCCTGTATTTGTATCTTCTCAGAATTGGATATTCTGATTGGATTGTGAGTCCTTAGTAAATACATTCATATACATATTTGCTATGTATTAACATTCTTTTATTGTCCTTTATATGTATGTGTTACATCAAGTTATAATATTTATGTACCTTGCCTCTAAGTAGATTCTAAAGGGTTCTGCCAATGATGTAACACTGGGATGATCTTCAAAATTAAGCACCCTCTTAGTAGTTTACTCATGAGAACCAGGCTTGAAAGATATCCACAACAGATGGCACAGTGCATCTACAGGATTCCCAGTGAATGTGGCAAGAGCTATGTTGGTGAAACAGGCAGACCTCTAGCCATGCCGCTCTGTGAACACAGTCTCAATCTCAAAGAGGGACCTCTAGGAATCTCAAAATTAACCCAACATGACTATGAAGAGTGTCATAGAGTAGGCTGGGATGAAGCTAGGATTTTGGAAATTGAAAATAACAGCAGGTATAAGAAATACAAGGAATCGGCCCATATGGTGTTCTTAATCCATCTGGCCAACCCAGCCTTAACAACATTTCTCCCATCTGGATTCAGTTTTTACTCAACAAATGGTGCTAGTATTAAGCACAAAATTCTCCATTTGATCCTATGCCTAGATTTTCATGGACATGGTTTATTGCAGAAAATTTGTCACCTCCCTTTCTGTCTTAGTTTTGGGTCCATGCATGCTGTATCATAATTTTTATTGCATGTTTTACTGTTATCTAGGCTGCACCATAGCTCAAGCGGTTAGTCGCTGGTTTCCCACTGCGGCAGCCCGCGTTCGATCCCGGGTCTGGTCAAGTGGGATTTGTGGTGGACAAAGTGATGCTGGGGCGGGTTTTTTCTGAGTACTTCGGTTTCCCTTGCTAGTCTTCATTCCACCAAATTCTCCATCATCATAATCACCCAGGGCAGGCTACAATAGGCCAATGAGAGGCCGCCGTGCCGAGTGGACCAAGTTGGACTCCACCCCCCACTAAGTGAATTTAAATTTGTTTTCTGTTATCTCCCTTTGACAGGTATTTACATAGCTGTAGTTATATGGGTTGTTCGGTGATTGAGGTAAGCTCTTTGTAAGGGATGCAACAGAGCAGGTGTCTGCCCCCCTCACCTGAGGACAGAAACATCCAGTTTTCAAAACGTGTTCTTTAGTTTCTAGAATACTGGACGCTGGACAATGTCCAAAAATCCAGTAATTCTTATTGTTTCCAAGCTCATTTCCTGATGCATTGTTTATAATTCCATAGCTCACCTAGGCCACATGGTAACCTGCTTTGAGAAGATAGAATGTTTCTCTTTCAAAACAGTTTTCAGCTTATGGTTTTTCTTGTATCACTTTTAGCTAGTTTATGGACATACATAGTTTTATTAGCTGTTCATTTCTTTACTGTGAAATACTGCAGACTGCTAGTATACAGCCAGAAGTTTCAGGGGTTGGAGTTGAGCCGGTTGCAGATTTCCTGTGATTATAAATGGTAATGGGAAAATAAATTTCAGTTCAGTTTAAGTTGTATTCAGGGTTCTCACAATGATGATGTTAGCAGTGCTATGTTCTGGGATGTCATGCCATTTAGTCTTGGAGTGCCCTGAAGAGGGCAGGGTGTGTGGGTGTAACAGCCTGGTGGAGACTTCTAATCATGAGGAATCCTATGAAGGAGGCTTTGTGCATTCTTTCAGGATGTTTTAATGGCTTTCACAAGCAGAACCAGCTTGTTTGTTCATACTGTTCGGACAGAACTGATCTCATTGGTCTCCTTGAAGATACCCTTCATATATCTGGAGTTTGGGGAGAGACTGCTGTGTTCTGGAGAGGAATATGATGTCATGCCCTGCTGTGGCTGACTTAGCTGAACAGATCTTGCTTCACTGACAACTTTCAAGGGAGATATTCCTTTTGTAAATTGAGCATGGTTCCTTATTTAATGACACTGTCAATGTTGAAACTAATATTGTGTGTAAATTGAGGAATTGTCAAAGTGACATGAATTCAGATAGCTAAAAACATAGGGCTTCTATATAGATGTCAAATGTTTCAGCTGTAAAGAGAATATTCAGCCAGCGCACAATGCGCGCACAGACAGAATGCAAATATCGCAACCTGCCAGAAGTGCTCAATAAGAAAATAGATAGGAAGAGGAAAGAGGACTATCGCACCAATAGACTCATGGCTGAGATTTTTGCGAGGGTGAGTATGAGAACCTCAGATGCATCTAGTGATTCTAATTTTCCTTATTTTCAAAGAAAGACAGTCCTGTGCTGTGAGGATGCCCATGTGACCATCTTATCTCCTGAAATACATCTGAAACAGCAGATCATGAATCCTGGTATGAATATTAATACCATTAGTGGTCATCATAACCTTTCTAGTTTCCAGTTTCCTGTATGAATGCTATATATCAACATGACTACTTACATTTTGTGTGGTAATAGATCTTTGAAAAACATACTACTTTTATTCAGGTAATATCTTTATATGATGTAAAGCAGCAATGTGGTGCCCTCGTGTAATATGTGTCTAGCTTCTGGTTCAAAGTCTATAGCAGTACACCATATCAAGTTTGGTATGGAGATAGATCATAAATATAGCTACAACTGTTATACAAAACATTTTCTTTATATGTTAAGAGTTACAGGCATAGCTGTATCATCTGTGAATATTTCATGAAAATTTAAGATTATAATAATATGTACTAGTGGAAATTAAGCATAAAAATGTATCACTGAATTGAATGACTATAAATCTATAGTTCTTCCTAGGCTTAATTATATAATAGCATCATGGTTTCTACGCTGAGTTCCATAAGGTTCAAGCCAGAAGTGAAGGAGCCCCTGACTAAGGACCCAGTTGATGGTAACGTCATGACTAGTTGAGCCTGTTATACATCTTGGGGGCTGTGATGGATGAATATTGAGCATTGGTGGAATGTTGATTGCTGGGATAACTGAAGGAATTGAAAAACACTTCTGTGACATTTTGTTCAGAAATCACATATGGACTTCCTAGAACTAAACCCAAGCCACTGTGAAGAACTATGGCACACAGCACTGTTTGTGTATACAAGTAATAACTTATTTTTATGTTTCTCGTAAATTGTGAAGTGACACCATGTTTCTGACATGTCATTTCTTGTTTTCAGAAACTGCAGAAGAGAGTGCTGAAGGGTGATGTAAATCTCTCCAACAGCAGGAGTGTGATTTCCAATATATGAAATGTTGTTTTCCACTTGGTGCTGGTTTATTTGTGTTATGACAAGAGCCACGTTTTAGCTCCCCAGTGTTTTATATGTACCTAAAGATGCATCATATCAATTTCTTTTTGTATTAAAAATAATTACAAGGCAAAAAATATATTAATATTGCTCCTTCATGTATTCTGCTTCATCATCATTTTCCTTTGGCTGTAGTTATCACTAGGACCCAGATCTTTATGCACTAAAAACACTTAAAATATGCACTAAAAAGCGGGAAAATATGCACCAAAATAAAACAATATGCACTTAAGAAACAGGTCACTTTATTCACTCACCTATTTACATATATCATTCACTGCAGAAAGTAGCATCACAATGGGCAACTTTCAGTGTTTTCTGGAGACAAACTACGTCTGTTGTCCGTCAAAATGAGTTTATAGGCCAAGAATGATCTTTCTACAACAATTGACATGATTGGACAGGATCTATACACTGGCGCTGAAGATTCGGAACATTCTACTGGCAAAGATACCCTAATTCCACCCAAGTACTGACTGACTGAATCTTTTTTAGTCCTGGGTTCGAATTCAACACCATTTCTAACTTGCATTTAATTTTCTCTCCAATTTCGCCTGGAGCGGAATTTAGTGAACAAGTTACTTTCTGAACAAGTTCAAGTGAGTCATGAAGGAGTTCACCACAAGATTCTAAGCTCTCAGTAGCTTTTGAAACTGTAGAAAAATGTGCATGGATAAAAATTCACATCTTGAGAAACAGTATCACATCCAAACACCACTTTTGCTTCACGGACACATGCATACTCATCTTCAAGTTTCAAGTTTTGCAACCACACCATGGTGGCCCGGGTTCGATCCCGGGTCTGGTCAAGTGGGATTTGTGCTGGACAAAGTGGCGCTGGGGCAGGTTTTTTCTTAGTACTGCAGTTTCCCCTGCCAATCTTCATTCCACCAATTGTTCCACAATCACCCTCACCTATCATCTGGGGCTGGTATAATAGGCCAGAAATGGCTGCAGTACGAAGGACTTAGTCCCACCCCACTAGCAATAAAAAAAAAGGCCTTTGCTGCCTTCAAGATATAGGAAGCTCCATCTATGAGTAATACAAGCACCTTTCAACAATTATTCTCAATTTCAGATGGCCATAGTAGTCTCAGAGAATTGTTTACAAAACTTGCTATTGTACTATGGTTGGTGTTCTCTAGTACTTTGCAAGCAAGAAGATGAGGTTTGCCCGGTTCGTCTGGATGTAGCTTACCAACTATGAAATTTGCTATGTATCACCACATAAATCAATTGTCTCATCCACCGATATCCAGACACAGTTCCCTCAGATGTCAGAACGGATTGATCCCAGAGTAGATTCATACAGCAAAGGCAGATATTTTTTAGGCATTTTCAGTACACAAACACTTGATGCAGACTATTAAAGTAAAGGGTAACACATTAACTGAAGAGACTTCTCTCAACACCAACCCTCTGATGCTGCTGTCTCCTGTGGTGGTCAATGGAATGCAGGAAAATCCCACCCTCCTCCCTTTCGAAATAGCCAAGCTACCTGTACTGTAAGTGGTAAAAGTGCCGTTACTCAGAGAGTTGAGAACAGCAACTGGCAAGGGATGTCCAAAACACAGGCAAAACCCATTTTGTTAGAGAACATTTGAAATTATCCTTAATTCCAAACATATATGCAGAAATATGCTCTTACGTTTAGAATATGCAATAACGACCAAAAATCCTCTAAATATGCATTTTCAAAAAATCTTGGCCCTAGTTGTCACACAGCACCTGCTGTCTCTTCCTATAACCACTCTGACTCTTTTCCTAATCACTTGTCTACACCTTGTGTCACTTAATCCCTTTATCTTGTTCTTGACCTAGCTCTCACAAGAATTCCAGTATCATCCACAGACAACACATGCCCATATCATTACATCCTTAATATTATACAACAACCGTGAAATAAGCAGCTATACAACAGCTGTTGCTAGGGAATGGCTCTGTAAACCATGGCCATTGATAGATAATGGTCGTAACAGATTCACAACATGCAAAAATGGAGTAACTGGGAAGCTGTGTTGTCTACATAGTTCATGTGATAGCTGTGTGACACAACAATAGAAGAACTTTTAGGAGAGTTGTTTTCTATGGAGTCCATGTCAAGGCTATATAACAAGGAGCAGCTGCGATTACAAGAGAGTCTTAAGATGGCAGTGAGAAGAGCAGGAGGTTGATGTGAGATGGCTGTGAGCATGGGAGTTAGTGGAATTGAGTTGAGTTGAGAGTTCGGCAGTTGGAAGCCAGTTAGTTCAGCTTGGGAGCTGGAGTGAGATGGGCAACAGTCAGTCAGAACATGAAGATGTGGACATGGAAGTTGAGGGATCTAAGGCATTGGAAACCATTACCAGATAACCAGTAAACACACGGCAGACCGAGAAGACTTAGTACATGCTGTAGTGAACTGCAGAACATGTGAATTAGTGATAGTCATAGAGTTACTTCTAGTTACAATCTGTAAGTGTTCAATAAATCCAGTTACCAATCCAAACCCTTTCTATAGTCTATAGTCAACTTTTTTAAATGTTCATACCTTCAGATATTGCCTAGTGTCCTGGGTTCCCTTCCATTTTGTTGGATGTTAGGTTCTCACAGCAGTGACTATGAAGAACAATGTGTTCTGGGATTATTTTCATGTTGTCCAGTACAAGTTCACCTTTTTCTTGAACAGAGCTTTTTGAATCTGTAGATGTTGCGTAAAGCAGCCTCCGCATATTAAGGTTCTCACAGCAGTTACTGTGAAGAGTCATCTGAGAAGTGACATCATGTAATCTGATGTACTTTACCAGACTACATGGCGTCACATCCCAAATCATAGTACTCTTTCCATTTATTATTTTCTTTTCCTTAAGGTTTCATTTGGGAACAGTGAATTTGTATTTAGTCAGCTGGAAAATCTTACATGGAGGCTATTTCACACAGATGTTTTGATTAGAAGTTAAATGAGGAAAAGTCTTGAACTGAGAAAAGTTAGATGGGGATTCCATTGTACTCCTTCGTCTCTTCTTTTGTAATCTGTTTATGTCTGTCCTGAGTTCAGATCTAAGTTCACATTTTATAAGTCAGAATAGACTAGTAATGTAAAACTTACTTATGAAAACATCTCGAAGGACCTGAAAATTTAACTGTCCTTTTATAAGTACTAACTTCTAGATAAGTAACTTTGCACAGATCATATCCCAGTGTATCTGTGATTTCAATCACGAGTCACAGACTGATGTTGTTTATTGTTACTTTCCAGTTTTGTTTATTTCATTTTTATTCTTCACGTGAAGATTACTCTATTCTGGGATGTGAAGCCCTGTAGCCTGGTAGAAGTTTACTTTTTTTTTTTCCTTGGATCATGGTGCTACCTACATCTTGAGTACGGATGGAAGCAACACAGTTATATGTCAGGACAGGAGCTGTGAGCAAACCTGTTTGAGTAAGGAGGGAGGTGGACCATGCCATAGCTCAAGCGGTTAGTTGCTGACTTCCAACCGTGGTGGGCCAGGTCTGGTCATGTGGGATTTGTGGTTGACAAAGTGGCGCTGGGGCAGGTTTTCTCCGAGTACTTTGGTTTCCCCTGCCAATCTTTATTCCACCAATTGCTCCACAGTCACCATCATCTATCCCCTGGGGCTGATACAATAGGCCAGCAGTGGCTGAAGTACCAAGTGGACTCAGTCTCACCCCACTAAGAAATAATAAGGAGAGGAGTGAAGGACTTGACCCTCAAGTTGCCTTCTCCAAAATAAATCCTGGGAGTCTTGGAGGGGAACTGACTATTCTTTTGTGTTAAATTTTCCATTTTTTGCATATAATTTTATATTAATTTTCAGTCTGTTCTCGAGAATAGAGACAGATTTCTGTTTTAGTCTACATTTCATTTTAAACAGTTAGTTAAATTGTGAATTACAGACACCAAACTTTTTGGTGTAGTGGTTCACTCTTGTCTTGTATTCAGGAGGTGCTTGGTTTTAATATCAGCCATCCTGACAGGTATTTCTTAGTTTTCCTCAGTCCCTCTGGCCACATGACAGGATAGTACCTCAATTAAGCCATGACTGCTTTCTTTCAAGTTCATCATTTGTTTGTCATCCTACAATTTAGAGCCATATTGGTCTGAGATACTGACAGCATCGCAGAATATCCTTCCTGCCCCTCCAAAATAGCAAGCTGCGTGCAATTCGCAGTAAGCAGAGATGCCTGAGAGAATATTCTTCTTGTCTGAATATTAATTAACGTTTTACACTAAGATTTACATTTTGAAAGTCCTAAGACTTTGGAATAAGCATTACCTTAGATGTTTTGATGCAGAGCAACTGAATGGTTCGTTGCATGTACTGTGTCAGTCAGTGCCATCAGCCATGTTGGGCGTCCCTTCCCATTGATAAGCACTTGAGCAGCAGGAGAAAATTACTTTAACACACTCCTGCGGCACTAGTACTTAGGAACGGAACAGGTTGTTCAGAATGGGCTTGAGAAATGTGGGTTTGCATGAAGTGTGGATGCAGTACCTTGATTCTCAGCACAACTCCTGAAAATACAAAAGTGATATCAGAATAATATGACCAAAATAAAATCAGATTTACAGTACCAGATCCAAGATTAATTTCACCTATGTTTTATATTGATGTTTCTTTCATAAAATAAATAAAGCGCTACAGAGTCACTAATTAGTTTAGGTTGTATTTGAAAGGGGAAATGTCTAAGAAGATAAAAATGCATTTATTTAAAAATTTTTTTTTTCTTGGCCTAGTGGGCCTAGGCCTACATCCATGAACTTCTCCGTTCACAAAAGTCATTCAAAGCAGACGGTTAACAACTACAGACATGAGATTTTCAAGAAATCATCATCATTGGCAAAACAGCCCTTTTCAAGCCAAAGCCTTCCTTAGAAGGTTCTGCCAAATCTGTTTATTTCTGGCTAAGCCTTTTTACACTTTTGTTTTCCCAGGGCTGCAGGGTGTGTACAGTGATAAGACAGTCCTTGCGTAGTTTGCCAGGTATTTTTTAAAAAAATAAAGAAGGTAAAACCAGACAAGAAAGAACAGGGAATGAAAATATTAGAGAGAATTTAAAGAAATGCATTGGAAAATAAATTAATAAATAATACATT